GAGAAGAGCACAGGGCAGGTGTGGAGAAGAAAAAGTGGCAGATCTAAAAGCCGTGGCTGAGTCTCTGCTGCTCCTTCTGTTTCCCTTCTGCAGTGGTGAGGGAGGGAGGAGAGACATTTTGGCATCAGTCCTGCCCCTCTGAAGGGAGGACAGGAGCCAAGGAAATCAGATGAGCTAATAAAGTAGTTAGCAGTTTGGGACACCAAGCAAAAGACCCATTTCCCATAAGTAACTGCAAAGGAAACCATTCTCATGCCACAAACACCTTTTGCCCTAAAATATAGGTGTCTTAGTGGTTACTTGGTAGCTTAATGCCTACAGAAAAAAAAAAAGAGGAAGCAATTGGCAGAAACACTTTCCCTGGATCTCATCTGGCCATTTTTGCACCTTCCTCATTCAGAGCACAGCTCTATGAATAATTAACTCACTGCAAGATGAAAAAATAACTGGCATAAGTTTGCAGAATCGAGTCAAAGTCCTGATTTATGTAACTGGAAGGTTGAGTCTTAGAGGGCTCTCACGTCACTGTCACACTCCTGTTACATTAGCAGACAACTGCTGAAACTCCACTTTGTGTCCCTTGAGAGTCCCTTTTTCAGCCCTAACCCTTACAAGAGCCAACAGAATTCAGAATACACAAAATAGGGACAGGACAGAGACCAAGGCAAGAGTCAATGTTATCATGGCTTCTGCAAATCACTCCATTGCTAGGTTCTTGCTGACATTACAAGAAATGGTGACAGCATCACAATTTTGAAATCATACAGAAGGTTGAAAACAAGTCACACCAACTGTTATTGTGGCATAATGGTGAAAAATCAGAAATTACTTGTCTATATATAATGGAATGTTAAAAAATAGGGCACGTAAGTATTATGGAACATGATGAAATCATTTTTTAAAATGAGGTAAATATTTATGTATGCTTGTAATATACTGAGTAAAAATAGAACAATATATATGATTCCATACTTAAGAAAAAACAAGATGGCTGCATATATTTATACAGGCATATTGAAGGTAATTACCTTTGAGGAGTGGGCTGGGGAGAGTGGCAATGTTCATTTTAACACACACATGCAATAATATTAAAAAACACTATGCAAAGCAAAGAAAAATATTTGCTTCTCTACAAATGATCATAGTTTCACTTCTTCCCTTTCTTCCTTCCTTACTGCAAGCATTTGCTGAGACAATTCCTCAGATAAACCAGACATGGCCCCTGCCCTCAAGGACAGCCCACTAAGGAGGGGAGACACACAGAAACAGGTCATTGCAATGCACATGATCAGTGCAGTAATAAAGGCACTTGCAAAGAGCTAACGGAGCACACTTCTGGCTGATGACTAACTGTTGGGAGGGCAAGGAAGCCTTCATACCTGAGCAGAGCAGCCTGTCCTTGAAGAATAAACAGGCAAGGCCTGGAATCAAGGGCAGACGGACAAGACCATACAAGGAACAACAGTATGGAAGAGCATGCGCTTTTCCAGACATTCCAAGTACAGTCACTGGACATTGCTCGTGGAGGACCAGAGAGATGGTTAGGTTGTAAAGGGTCACATGGGGTCTATGCAGCTATTCTAAGCCTGAGCTGACAAGATCAGGTTTGTGATTTGGGGCCATCTCTCTAGCAAGACCAGGGAGCATGATTTGGAGGAGTTCAGGTCAGAAGCCACCTGGAGCATCTAGGCAAGAGGTGATGAGGGCCTCCATCAAGGTAGTGACAGTGAGGATGGGTGGACATATGCACTTGGGGATAATTCAGGAGATGGACCAGCGTAATTTAGGAGATGGCCATCAATTTGACATGGGGGCTTGTAAAATCCAAACAGTGGGGAGGTATGAATACAATTTTTCCTGCCAAGGCTCTATATGAAATGCCTCCTCCATCTCCTTCACAGGGACGTGGGAGACAATAAAAACTGATGTACATCTTTCCAATAAATCAGAGCTCTTCCCTCTGTTGAGCTTTGGAAACTCTGAAGGCCCGGAGAAAGTGCTGAGGCCTCTTAGAGTCCTGTCTCTGTGCTGCCCCCAGATAGATTTTGAGCAAGCCATTTGTCTTCCCTCTCTCTATACTCAGTCCCATGTGTAAAATGACAAAGTTGGATGAGGTGACCTCTAATATCCCTGACAGTTCTGAGTTTCTGACTCTATCAAATGGAAAAAATGGAATGGAAAAAAATAAATTGGAATGGAAAAAAAAATTCTGTTGCAAATTACTCCTTAAGTTCCCTCCTTTGGATAATTCTGTTCATCAAAGACTGTTGTGTGCCTTTCTTGATGCATTCAATCTGGATCTCACCTAAACCGTTACACCTAACCCATACTCAGTTTATCCTCAAAATACATGGTGAGCTATGTAGAGAAAGTTAAGATATGTATCTTGTGTATGCCTGTTGCCTGAAAGATTAAAGAATGAATAAACTCAGCTCAGAGCTAGAGTGAATATTGCTTTGAGAAATGGAATTAAATTTGAAAATTCCTCCTATTATTTTACATGAAGATTCTTAGTTCCCCTACCTCTACAGCCTATACCAATCTCCCTCATCTGGATTTCAGCACTTTTGTCTGTGGAGATTGTTCTGTCACTTGGTCAACATCTTTAGGGTTAATTATCTTCAGTGTGTGTATTTCCAACTCATCTTGATTGTGAGTCTGTTGGGGGCAGGGATGGTGAGCTTGTGCTTTTATTTTTTATGTTCCTCATGGGAGAAGGACATGACTTGTCTATTGAAAGCTTTTGGTACACATTTGCTGAATGAAGAGCAATCTAAGATAGTTCAGATCAATTCATCAAAAGCTTTCATACCACCAACTCTGTATCAGATACTGTGCTAAGCATGGGGGATTCCAAAATAAATAAAACATAATCCTTGCTTTCAAGGAATTCAAAATCAGGTGGACAAGACAGACCCACAAACAGTAGTGCCCATGTTACTGCATGCATAGTATTTTACACATAATGCATTATCTATGCATACTAAATTTCAACACCCAAAAAGGAAATATATCTTTTGAGATTTACCTGTTATGATTTCAGTATTTCAACTGCAGTTGTCAGTGGCTTGAACTTTATATCCTGGGGGACTATGTCTGGGGTAGAAATTGTGGCAGGGTAGGGTTTGCAGGGACTCCCTTTGTATTTCTCTGTTGAAAGTTGTCATAGTCCACGGACTCACAGGCTCTTAGGAGCTGGAGGAGGTTTCAGAGGCCATCTCACCCATTTTCCCACCCCAGGCAGAAATTGTCTTCAGAGCAGCCCTGCCTGACCATTGCTCAGCTCTGCTGGAGTGTTCTGTTCTGTGACAGGGCTCACTGCTTCTCCAGGCAACCCCTTTCACGCCCAGATGTTAATTTACATGTGGTTGGCGCTCAGTAAATGTCAGTTTGAAGAAATGATATTGAGCAGCCTATCTTCCACTGGTACTTGTTATCTTCTGCAAGGCAACAAAGAATACATCTACCCTCTCTTCTACTTAGGACTTCTTGAATATTCAAAACAATAGCATTTGCCTCCCTAGCACCTACACATCTCCAAGCATTTCATGGTTTGATTTCAAACCCCTCCTCATAAGACAGAGTATCCAGCATGACAGAGAAGAACCTGTATTGTTTTTGTCCCTATATTCTAGTTTGGTTTTTTAATGATCTTTCTTGAAGTGGCTGCTCTTTCCTAGAGTCTAGATTATGGTCTAGTCAATGCTAAGTCAGGCAGTGAGTCCTCTACATCCCCATTTGGTCGCTTGATGTCTATGGATGCAGCCTAGAGCAGCATTTGCTCTTTCAGATGTCACAGCACATTCATGCTGGGTTTGGGATCAGCTAAAACCACCCTAGCATGGGATGGTCCACAGGTTTGAGAAGCATGCATTCTGGCCAAATTGTTGACAACAGTACTGCTTGGAGGGGGCAGTCAGGGAAGAGGAGTTAGCACCCTGCAGGAGTCTGCCTTCCCGCTTATCTTTACTCTCTTGATAAAGATGGAAACTGAGAAGGGAAATGGACTGATGTCACAGAACCAATTAGCCGCAGCCCATGTTGGAGAATTCGTTACAAAACTCGTTGATTTTAGGGATCTACCTAATAGAGGTGATTAAATCCTTCAAGCAAGAGTGGCAACAAGGGACACATATTTGTTGTTTCATACTTTGAACTTTCCATTTATATCAACTCATACTTGGTTTCCAAGTCTCCCTTTAAGCCTGAACACTGAATGCTTGAATTAAGATTGCTTCAGTCATTTAAAACACGTCAGAGGGGTCACAAGTTACTTAAGCCCTAAATCGGCTGATGGACATTTCAAACACAGCAAATAACCAGAAGTAAGTACAGAAATTTTTTTTAATCCCAAATTTTGCATTGCTCATCCCCCTTTTATGGAAAAAAATTGCTAACACTGAGAAGTACCCCAGAGTGGCAATTACCACCTGAGAGAGTATTGCTCTTCATGTAAAAGCCACACACCTCCAGTGCTTTTAGGTCGAGGGCGGGGCTCTGGCTGAGCGCACAGGCAAACGGGCCCGCTCCAGACAGCTGCTCAGCCAGATCATCACCCGCAGCCCGGTGGGGTCTTGGACCCGGTTTTGCTTTCCAAGAGGACCAGACTTGCAGTGAAGATAAAGGGGGAAGAGTGTTCTGTGCCCCAAGTTGTTGGGGTCCAGTCTGAAGGCAGTTTCAGGGTAGGTCTTACGAGCTCTCTAAAACCCTTCTCTCCCCATCCCGCCCCCAGCCGGTCAGCGATGCAACGTTCTATTAACAGAAAAGGATCCTGCGTTGGGTCGTGAGGATGCAGCTGTTCATTGTTTAGAGCAAAAACCAAAATGTCACTTTCCTTTTCCTCTCACAGCTGCCCTTTTCTCTCCTCCGACCCCAAATCTTCCTTTTTGCACTGGCTACACCCTTCATCCTCCCGCTCCCCCGACCTCTTCCCCTCGCTGCCCCAGAGGCTTCTCCCTCGGAGGGCGCGGGGCGCGAGCTGGCCGCCTCCCTCTCCTTACTTTGTCCGGGTGGGGCGAGGAGGTGGGAGGGGCTGCATCGGGCGGTGCAGGCGCCCCCGGCTGGACAGGCACCGCGGGGCGGCGGGCCACCACGCTCTGCTCCCGTCGCGATGGAAACGACTGCCGCGCTTCCTGTGACTCAGGCTCTGGTCCAGTCCCAAACCAGCTTTCACATCGGCCTAAAGAACACATCCCTTTCCCTCTCACCCCCCTTCTCTTGCCCCCAGTTCTTTCATGTTTGGGACAAAAATTGGACAGCTCCAGGATAGAGATGGGAGATGATCAACAGACCAGATTCCTGAAACTATCCCTAGCCCTCTCCCTCTTCAGAAAAGCTGGTTACCAGAAGCTCATAGCAAATCTTCTGGATATAATGTGTTCCCTAGACACACTTTTTGAGTGCTTACCTTGGCACCAGGTTGTTAACAGCCTAAAAACTAAGGAAAGCTGTAGTTGAACCAACAGTAAAGAGGCCTGGAGGAACACAGTTGGTCCGTGAGGACACAAACATTCCAATACAGCTCTTGGAGAAGGCCCAGTTATTCCAGTCTTCAAGGACAGGTAGGAATTAGCAAAAGGCAAAAAAGTACCAGTTTAAAGGCCCTGGGCGAAGGGAGAACTGTACCACGGGTGCTAGCTCTGCTTGGAGTAGCAGGGGTCAAAAGTGCACATGCGCAGCATGAGGTGAGGTTGAAGGTGGGGCTGGGCCAGCCCGATTCAAAATTATCTTGTGAACTGAACAGACAAAGGTGTGTAAGTGTGTGAGTTTTAAGCAGCGGGATAATCACACTCATGTTATTTTAGAAACGGCACCTGGCAATAATGGTATGGAGGGTAGGCCAGAGGCCAATAATCAAGACAAGCATGCCTGTTGGAAATAGAAAGTGATTTTTCAGAGTAAGAGGCAGTAAGTAGGAGGAGAGAACAGTTTTGAGATTAGAAAATGTAATTCAGGAATGGAGAAAATGTGAAGGGTCCGAGGGCTGCAGTCATCTGAGTGGACAGTGGTGCCATTTACGAACAGGATGGAGGGAAGACATTGGGGGAGGGAGGCTGGTTACTGATTTGGAGATGATTTGCATCAGATGATCAATGGGTCAGGCAACAGGTCTTCTGCAGGGCAAGATCTAGGCTAAGGATCCTGACTTGGCAATCAGCATCACATAGGCGACCACTGGAGCCTGAAGTCATCTAAGCTTTTAAAAAAAAGTCAGGGGAAAAGAATGGAATCACACTGAATATGACACTATAAGGTGGGAGGAGTGGGTGCAGGTGACACAAAAGATTAGAAAACTGCAAAATCTGAACAGTAGACAGGGGGGTAGGGAGAAAACTACAAAAGCAGAGTGTTGTATGAGCTCAGGAAATAAAATGTACTGAGCAGAGTATGATGAATAGGGTCTGTAAGATCAGGTGAGAAAAACGGGCACTGGATTTGGCATCAGGAGGTCATCAGTGCTTTCTGCAAGGCCAGTTTCTCATACTTTAAGGTAATTCCAACAGAAACTATTCATTTGAATAAAAGAAAAAACAGGTTCATTAAAGTGGTGCCAGATGATTAATCAATGATATCATTACTTAATACAGGGTACTCTCAATAAATGTTTTTGTAGAACTGTACCACGGAGAGTATCTCAATACTAAGTAACTGAAAATTATGTTTTTTAAAAGAGAGTTGATTGGAGATAAACATGAGCAACTTCTTCAGGAACATATCTCCCCAGGCAAGGGAAACAAAAGCAAAAATGAACAAGTGGGACTCTATCAAGCTGAAAAGCTTCTGTACAGCAAAGGACACCACCAAAAGAACAAAAAGGCATCCTACAGTATGGAAGAATATATTCAGAAACGACAGATCTGATAAAGGGTTGACATCCAAAGTATATAAAGAGCTCACACACCTCAACAAACAAAAAGCAAATAAGCCAATTAAAAAATGGGCAGAGGAGCTGAACAGACACTTCTCCAAAGAAGAAATTCAGATGGCCAACAGACACATGAAAAGATGCTCCACGTCACTAATCATCAGAGAAATGCAAATTAAAACCACAATGAGGTATCACCTCACACCAGCGAGGATGGCCAACATCCAAAAGGCAAACAACAACAAATGTTGGCGAGGTTGTGGAGAAAGGGGAACCCTCCTACACTGCTGGTGGGAATGTAAATTAGTTCAACCACTGTGGAAAGCAGTATGGAGGTTCCTTAAAAAGCTCAAAATAGAAATACAATTTCACCCAGGAATTCCACTTCTAGGAATTTACCCTAAGAAGGCAGCAGCCCAGTTTGAAAAAGACATATGCACCCCTATGTTTATCGCAGCACTGTTTATAATAGCCAAGAAATGGAAGCAACCTACGTGTCCATCAGTAGATGAATGGATAAAGAAGATGTGGTACATATACACAATGGAATATTATTCAGCCATAAGAAGAAAACAAATCCTACCATTTGCAACAACATGGATGGAGCTAGAGGGTATTATGCTCAGTGAAATAAGCCAGGCAGAGAAAGACAAGTATCAAATGATTTCACTCATCTGTAGAGTATAAGAACAAAGAAAAATCTGAAGGAGCAAAACAGCAGCAGACTCACAGAATGTAAGAATGGACTAATGGTTACCAAAGGGAAAGGGACTGGGAAGGATGGGTGGGAAGGGAGGGATAAGGGCCGGGGGGAATGAAAGGGGGCATTATGATTAGCATGTATAACGTGGGGGGGAGGGGGTCTGGCGAGAGCTATACAACACAGAGAAGACAAGTAGTGATTCTACAGCATCTTACTGCGCTGATGGACAGTGACTATGATGGGGTGTGTGTGGGGAACTTGGTGATGGGGGGAGTCTAGTAAACATAATGTTCCTCATGTAATTGTAGATTAATGATGCTAAGAAAAAAAAGAGAGTTGAGCAAGGTAGGTGAGGTGATATAGAACAGTATAAAAATACATACTAAGAAAAAAAACATACAATAGCAATAGTCAAATGCTCACTTTAATTGTAATTCCTAATCACCTCCTTTCACATTAACATAGATGTCTGCATACACCAAGAACTGAGCCAAGTATTACATATTTTTTAATGTTTAACATAATTTGAAGAGTTTTTATTGAAAAGTGCTCAGGAGATGGTTGAAATTCTTACCATAAATATAAAATACCTCTTACTATTTTTATTCACAACAAATTCAGACCTAAGCTTCCTGAATAGCTATATTATCTAATATCATAACAGGGATGACTAAGTACTTGACAGCCACCCTCTAAAGCACTGGCTTAACATAAAGCTATGACTAAGGAAAAGCCCCCCCTGCTTGATTCTTATTCAAAAAGGCTAACATTTTTTTGCAAAGCATTAGTTTGTCCATGAAATGTACACAACCAGAGACAGATGTATGCAATGGTACCAAGGAAAGAAAATACCAAAGCCTTTTCACTTCTGTTAAAGGTTTTGAGTAAGAGTGCTTCATAAAATGTTCTGAAATTCTATTTGCTATATAATAGCCATCTACTTCTAAGTAGGAGACAGACATATGCTATATTATAGCAACCATTTTAATGTGTTAAATAATTCTGAAATCTTACTATAAAAATATTTAGCTAAAATATTAACCATCTTTGTAATAAAATTGACAGTGTAGCTTATGTAACTCATATGATTTCAGAAATGTCTCTTGGAAAAAGTGGGAATGCTTGCTTTTGCCAAACTCTGAACAGTTAAAGTTAAGGTGCTATAAACTAGACAAAGTTACAAAGGAACATCATATTGGTAGAAAGAACAAGATATAATGTGAGCTTCCTCCATGTCAGGTGAATAACCACATAATGATGAAGATTTACTAAAAATATGGAAAATAGAATATGTTCTTTACAAGGAAGTAACATTATAAGGTAAATCTTATAAACAGACCTCCTAAATAGCTTTCCAGTAAGACCATAAGCACAAAATGAGTAGAGAATTTATATGTCATTAAAGGAATCCTTCATATTACAATACCCTCCTCAAATATAAACACAAATCAAACAGACACAGATGTAAAACTCTCTTAATCCAACATTTCTTTACACTCAGCTACTAGTGGTATTCGGATGCAAAGGTTTAACTCGTGCTAATCTGGACAAGCCAAGGCGGAGACTCTGACTCGGAGATTTCACAGCCCCTACCAGCGGGCTGCTGCCTCCAGATGCTGCTGAAAGAAAGCATATCACACGATGCTGATAATGTTAGAAATCTCTTAACAAAGATCAATTCCTAAAACAGAAGAAGCAAAAAAGTAGTTAAGCATTTTTCTATGATACAGGTTCTATCGTGCTGCAAACAAGACAAAAAAAAGAGAAAATACTCAAGACCAGAAAAAATAGTTTTGCCTATTTTCAAACACCCCCAAAAGGCAAGGTAATGACAACAGAACTTTAAATGGCAAAGCCAAAATAGGTAAATTGGAAGCAAGTATCACTGGCTATAAAGGCATAAAGAAATGCATGCAACTAGTTTCTAAAGCAGAATCTAATGCATTTTTCAATCCCAGTTTTTACAAGTACTCCTTGAAAGAATCTACTTTTTTTCAAATACTAAATAACTTTAAACATGATAAATACTGTTTTTATTTATTTTTCCTACTTTCATTTATGCTACCACTCTAATAAAGCAATTGGGTATTAAATGTATCCACATCGACGTACATAGTTGATCATGATTGTAGTCGTAAGAAGTACAACTCTGTGTACTTTTTTAAAAGTAAAGACATAAACATTTCCACGTTTCTAGCTGTCTGATTTGTTGCTGTTAATTGTATATATGGGCCACGTATTGGTCACATTCCTCCAACAGGCTTCTGGGTTGGTTCTACTTTCTCACCATTTTTCATAAATAATTGTAAAAAGTCTGACCACTATTACTTTCTCTTCTTTTAAATCCTTTTTAAGGAATAAATTCCCAAGATTAGCTCTTAAGCTGAAGGATAGGTTTATTTTTATGTCTCTTGTCAAGATGACCTTAAGGGATTAAAATTTATCATAAATAATTATACCTTCTACACAACCCAGAGTGTATTGGATTATACTGCTTTATTATTTTCTAGTTAGAGAGGTATAAAATAGTATTTTATTATTTTAATTTATATTTTCTCATTTACCAGTGAGAGTGAAATTCTTGCACATTTACTTCTCATTGTATTTCTTGGGGGCACTGGTATGTTTATGTCCTTAGCTCATTTTCCACTGGGGTCTTGGTGGTCTTCTAGTATTTGTGTAATACAAGTAACTAACTGGCAACCTCAGGGTCAAAACCAGCCCTCAGATATATTGTTTGGTCCATATGGTGTTAAAAACTCAACTTTTAAAAGCAAGGAGATTTCACATTAAAATCTAGATTTCTGGCTTCTCTTGAAAAAATCACATGTGGAATTACCAGGCCTGTAATCCTGCATGTGAACAGCTGGAGGGAACTGAGCAACAGCTGCTTCCTTCCAAAGGAGCATGAGCTCTCAAGCCCAACAGTCCCCAAGTTCACTGAAGTTTATTACACGGGCCCAATTCCCCAGTTCACTCACTTACATCACCTGCCCTACCCTTTCACACACTGAATCTACAAGCATTTTGTGCTTTATGTTATTAACTCTTTGTCTGTCTCTCCATTATTTCCTTTTTATCTTTTTGATTCTGCTACCTTTACATTTCTATAGCCATTATACCTTTTAAATTTCTTTCAATGGGGAATCACTATCAGATGAAGAAATACACTAAGGATTACCCTTTCAATGATATGGCATCATTATTCAGGAACTAATCTTCCTCCTTTCCTTCTCCAAAAAACTTTGAAGTCTTCATTAAAATCTTAGAATTTTTAAACCAGAAAAGACATAAAGTTTTAGTTATATATATATACTTATATAATATTTCAGATGATGAAATAAAGACTAAGAGAAAGTAAGGCTTAAATCTATTCACACCCAGTTACACTAGGAGAGTGGCCACCGTGGACCAATTAAGAAGTGTCACTGAAAAGTGAACCTGAGCACACTTGGAATGAGAGGCAACACAGGAAGAAAGCCTATCAGCTAGGGAAACCAGACAAATAGAGGCTTTCATAGAAGAATACACCGACTGTCTAAGGAACAAAAAAAATGAATCAGTTTCACTGGAGTAGAAGGTGAAAGTGACTGGATGAGGGAAGGGGACACTAGTTAGGAAGACACCAAGATTCAGGATTTTTGTGAAACGAACAGGGCCTGGGGTAGGGTTTATTCATGTCAAAAAGTGTGAGGGCCAAAGAATTCTTGAAGGACAGTGAGACTTGGCTGTGAAACAAAAGAAAACAAAGAGAAGCCAAGCTGGAAAGCCTGTTGTTGAGGTCGCTAGGGCGTCTGTTAGATGGTGAAGCTCCCACGTACAGGCCCGAGGCCTCAGTTAGACTGTGGAGGCCAGCGGGTCTACAGCAAAAACATTTTCTGCCAGAAATATGTATCAGGAATCTTAAATGTTAATGCTATTTGACACTATAATTCTACTACTAGGAATTTATCCTAAAAAAATAATCAAGGATGTGACTAGATTTCTAAATAAGGTTGTTTATTGCAACCTTATTTATAACACTGAAAAAGTCATAAACAATCTGGATGCTCATTATAAGGCAATGATAAATGATGAATAAATGAAGCAAATAAAAACCTTGGTTTTAAGGAATACATAACATATATAACATTTGCAAGTGGGGTAAAAAAAATCTACCAGTGGTAATTTTTTAAGCTCCTTCCCTTGGTCAATAAATATACCATACCTGGTGGGACCCACTTAGGCCTCTTGCTTTGAGCTGAAGGACTATGTATTTGTAATGGTTTCCTGGTGATCTCTGAAGAAAGAGAAATCTTTTTCGGTGAAGGCTGAGATTCTGATTTGATGGCAGTGAGAGTAGAGTCTACTGAAGTCACTTATTTGAAAAATACACATAAAAAAATTTGTCACAGAGGAAGATTAAGTCTAGCATGTATGTGTGAAAATTGTAAAGTTACTTAAACTTATACAACTTAAGGCAGTATCATAAATATGAAAAACTCATTATAAATCAATAAACATTGCCTAAAATGCCATCTTTTATGAGCATTTATTTGCAAAGCAGTGCAGGAAGCATATCATATAGATTACCTGTAACTCTTATAGCAACTCTGATACAGATATTACTATTCCCACTGTTAGACGAAGAAACAGAGAGGTTAAACAATATGCTTAGAGTCTGATAGCTAGTGTCTGAGCCAGGATTAGGGACCAGGTCTGACTCTGAGGTCCATATTTGTGACCAGTATACAAGTGTCTCATCAGTATGTGTCAGTGAGACAATGTACTAGGCACTAAGGTTATAAAGAGTGTAACTCATGGATCCTACTCCCAAGCAATTTATGGTCCAGTCACTAGACTCTGGTAGAAAGCAGAGATGTTTACAGTGCAGTATAGTAAGAAGTCTGACAGGTACACACAAGCAGGAGTGAACCTTCAATCTGACTACATATCTGCATAGGCTTAGAGGTCACAGGGAGGTGGGTGAGGATAATTTGAGCCAAATCAAGGCTGGAAAACAATGATGACAGAGGGAGTAGAGCATGAAAAGCCAGAGAATGCAGCAAGTTTCTGGAACAACTACTGGTTCAGTGTGGCTGGAATAGGCCAGACAGGATGCAGATCATTGGAGACGAGCTCTCCTGTCTGGCTACTAACAAACAGAGCACTTGGATTCTGGAAACGTCTTTCTGACGGCAGTCTTTGGCAGGTCTGTGGTAGTCTACCACAAAGCTCTTGTGGTAATCCAGGGGAGGGGTGGTAACGGCCTGAACTGAAGGGGAGAATGGAGGGAAAAACAGCAGATTGGATATCTTTTAGTCCTTAGATGGTGGAGGCAGTGATGGAGATGAAGAAATAATCACAACGTGAAAGTTTCTGTCATGGGCACAGTGCTTGATGGTGCTATTTGCCTGGAACATGAATACAAGAATGGGAGTAGGTTTAGGGTTTGTTTTTTTTTTAAGGTATGGGAACAAAGGGAAAAGGAGAGGCAGAATATAAATACAGGCTCAAATCATACTTGCTTTGAGATACCTTAGGCGTTTAACTAAGTATACATGAATATGAACATTTTCACTATATACTCTTCTTAATGTTAACATACATTCCCTAGATCGGCACAGTCCAACAGAAGTTTTTCTGTAATGATGGAAATATTCCATATTTTGTGCTGTCCAATATGTAACCATGGCCACATATTATTCCTGAGCAGTTGAAATGTGGCCAGCAAAACCGAGGAAGTGACTTTTAAATTTAATTTAATTTTAAGTAACTTAAATGTAATATAGCTTCATGTGGCTAGTGGCCCCTATATTGGAAAGCACAGCTCTAGTCATTTCTCTGTCAAGGGAAAAACTGTAACATGAACCAGATGAAAGACTCTCAAAGGTTACTCAGTACATTACTAGTGGGATTAGAAAAATAATCCATCTTTCCTTATTCTTATTCCCATTATTTAGCAGTTAAATTTTACTTCTACTACCATATATTAAACTTCCTTTAAAGTAACTTGCTTCAATGTATATAGAAGGGAAGATTTTAGATGGTAAATTCCAACTTGGAAACTGAAATTTTATTTTTAATCAAAAATACTAAAGGTGAGGAAGCATAAAAAAACTACAGAAAATATAAAATCTAATCATATTGTTAATGACCTTTTTCTATCAGTTTGTGGTAGGCAGAATAATGGCCCCTCAAAGATGTCTCCTAAGTCCCAGACATGTGCACATTACCTCACACAGCAAAGGGACTAGATGTCATGACGTTAAGGATCTTGAGATGGGGAGATTATCCTGAATTATCCAGAGGGACTCAATGAGCTCACAAGGGTCCTTAACAGTGAAAGTGAGAATCAGGAGAGAGAGTCGGAGTGATATGATGCAAGAGAGTCTCTGCCACTGCTGGCTTGAAAACAGATGTGAGCCACCCATCAAGAACACTGATGGCTCGAGAATCCGGAGAAGGCAGGAAAATGGATTCTCCCTTGAGCCCTCACAAGGAACACAGCCTTGCTGGAAGCTTGATTTTAGCCCAGTTTTGGGAACCACTTTGAATCTGTAACCTGCAGAACTGTAAGATAATAAATTTGTGTTGTTTTAAGACACTAAGTTTGTGGTAATTTGTACAGGTAAATTGAAAACTAACACAGTTTTATCTTCCCTACATTTAAAATATAATTTCTGGAAACCAGATGAATCCATCAATTAAAAAACACTACTTAAAACCTCATTTATTCAGGATCCAGTGGAGAGAGGAATATGACTTGGTCAGTATTTCTTATTGCTTAGAAAGCACTTAGCACCATGCTTTCTAAGGCAAGAGCAACTACCACCATTAAGAAATGGAGTCTGAATAGTGGAAATTTTAGTTTCAACAGCATATATATTAAACAACTAAGACATAAAAATATATATCAGTAAGTAAAACACATAAAGTTAATGGCAGTTACATTTTACAATATGTATGAACTCAAAAATATCCTAACTTTTGTTACACAGATACATACTTCATGTTTAAGCTGTCACAAATTCCAAAAGTTGTTCTGCAAAAAAGATTTTTAATAGAATTTATTTTGAAAAAACAAAAAGGCCCTAAACACGTGGCAAAGGTTCTCGAATCAAAGACTAAGCCAAGTGTGAAAGCAAGAAATAAGAATCGTGCAAACTTCCTGTTCAGCTGCCTGGAGAAAACGCCATCCAGTGTATAGAGCTTAGGCTAGGGATGGACAAGCCTGGCTGCAAAGTCCAGCCCCTCCCTTACTAACCGTAAGCGTTCCAACACACTATTTAACTCTCTGAGCCTCAGCTTTCTCACTGGGAAATGTGGATGGTAGCAGCTGTCCCAGAGGGCAACCGTCAGTGCTATGGGAGGTGACACATGGCAAGAGTGAGACAGGCCGTGGGTCTCGGGGCTCGTCTGCTTCTCTCCCTTCCCCACCCGACCCTGCTTTCTTCTGTGTATTTTAACTAGAAATGAACACTGGCAAAATGTAGAGAACAAAGGCAAAGATGGGAAAGCACATTAAATAAATCAAATGCACTTCCTTTATAAAATCAAGTGTTTGGATGAAGCTTACCCAAAGCATTCTGCTTGCATTGAGGTTTCTTCTCTTTCTTTTCAACTGGGGGTTTTACTTTCACTTCTTTTTTTTTAGTTTCTTTAACTTTACTTTTTCTCATAGTGAATTCTTCATCATCTTCACTCTCACTAAAATCAGAATCATCCTCAGAATCTTCACCTAAAAAAGATTACATAGTTTATCTTTGCTCTAAAATATGAGACATCTACTGTCTCCACTTTACAGCTGCCGCACCAGATTTGTGTGCACCTTTGTGTGGTGCCATTTCCAGGGCAAAACACTGCAGTGACCAGAAGCACAGCTGTCTGGGTTTGAATTTGAGCCCTTCCACTTATATGTTGTATGACCTCAGACAGGCCACTAACTTCACTGTGCCTCAGTCTCCTATGTACAAAATGGGAATAATCATAAAGCCTACATCACAGGGTCGTTGTATAGACTGAGTTAGATAGGTAAAGCATTTAGAGTAACATCTAGCATATGGTAAGTAAACCAGAAACTGTTTGCTATTACCGTTATCATTACAATTTCCTTTCTGTTAATCTTTACTTCTGATCTTACCAGTTGAACTCAGTAACTTTTGAAAAGAGAGGCAGGGCATAACATTAGCTACTCTTTCGAAACAATGACCTTAATGCTAATAGTAATAGTATATCTTCCCTTAATCACATAAACTTCAATATTCCATAACAGAAACCCATTTGGAATTGAGAAGAGACTAACCATACCACAACGATCTTAACTGATAATCCTACATGTGGTTTCATTCGGGGCACACCCCTAATTTCCCACAAACTCTTTTCTGTATTGCATGGCATGATATAAGCCAGTGATGTAATACGTTAGGTAGCTACAGGTGCTCTAGAGAAAAGCATGGTGAATACTTAATAGTTAAACAATGATCCTTCTATTTTGGAGTATGGGGTGGTGTAGAATCAGAAAACCATGTTGCATAAATAAACACTGATAGCCAAGTATATATAAGGATTAGCGCTATATTCATTAAAAAGTTCATGTTTCTTACATTATAAAAGTAGTACAAGCTTATCACAGAAAATGTAGACCATACAAAAAATTAAGGAAAATCTCCCTTATCTTAACACTCAGATATAACCACTGTTATGCCCACAATATATAATATGTACTTATCTATATAAAACATTTTATAAAATATAAAAATTTTCAAGCACCTACAACAATAAATAATAAACTACCACCCAGATTCAACAATCCTCCAAATGCATTCTGCTACATTTACTTCATCTTTTTTTCTTCTTTTCCCTTTCTCCTTGGGGATTATTCCAATAAATCCAAGGTATCATGTCATTACCCTCCTACACACTTCAGAACACATCTCTAAAAAACGCAGACTTTTAAAAAATTTCTTATTAAGGTAATTATTGATATACACTCTTATGAAGATTTCACATGAAAAAACAATGTGGTTACTACATTTACCCCCATATTATCAAGTCTCCACCCATACCCCATTGCAAAACGTAGACTTCTTTTAACACAAGTGTCATTATATCTAACAATATTAGTAATAGTTTCTTGGTATCATCTATCCAGTCCACATTAATCACTTCTACTATAGAGCAGCATCCCTCCCTTTACCTCCATGCCTTTGATTTGTTGAACTGGCTTAGGTGTCCTATAGAATGTCCCACATTCTGGATTTGTCTGTTTTCTTCCTCACGCTGTCATTTAACTTACCTGGTACTTTTTGTGAGCTAGAATTTTCTCAAGGCTCAATTAGAATCAAGCTCACATTGTCACTATTTTTGTCAGAAATATACTTCACAGGTGACACTCTGTACTCTGCATCATCTCAGAGAGCACACAGGCGTGGCTGTCCCACTCCTCTTGAATTCTCCCCTGTGGACAGCCTCCTCAGTCTTCCACTGATGATCTTTGCCTAAGTGATGATGTCATTATGATCTTCAAATTGCAACTGCCTTTTTCTGTCACTCTTTCCACACAAATAGAACTTAAAAAACAGGTAAGAGTAATCAACCCACATATTCATGTAATGGCTACTGTGTTGTATAGAATTAGCCATAGAAGGCCAGTAGATCACATGGAGGCTGTTATAAATAGTACCTTGCAAAATCAAGTAATTATTTCTGGAGTCCTAGCAGGATCCAGGTTCAGGGAGAGCAGGTAGTGGAGAAGTTTCTCCAAAATTTCAGAACATAGAACCTAGGAGGGCAAAACTTATGTATCCAACAGTTCTGGGCATGTGTTCTTTTCTTGGCTTGAGAGGATAAATGATAGGAGCTGGTTATAACTCAATTTAACAAATTTAGCTAACAATGGGGTCCTACTGATCTTCAACAGTCAACTAAGAAGAGTTTAATTTGAAGGTGGGAAGGTGGAGCTCCCAGACTCCTGAGTCATTAACATACCACATCGGAAAATCTGGACGGTCATGGATTCTGATAATCTTAAAATGTCCTTAAAAATAATCAGCCTTATGCTTTCCCCAACTTTCACTCTCTTTCCCTACTGAACACCACAAAGATCCTTTCTCTTCTCATTGAGGGTGAGCTAATGCAGGGGGATAACTCTGACCACTCACCTAAGATGCTGCTCCAAAACAACTTCAGGCTGTCCAAAATGCTACCCGCTGCACGTTCAAGTGTAACACACGTTCAAGCATAACACACAGTCACCTCTGGGGGCACTGGACAGCTGTTAGGCACCCTTGGTTTAGGGTGAATGAAAACAAATAGATTGCATTGCTCCTTAAAGTACACAAAGCATAAGGAGAAGTATGTCTGCCTTTGAATCTAAGTCTTGGCTAGAAGAGCTCAGGGAGGTTGCGACAGAGTAAGGCTTTTGTATTCTTGAGGTGCAGGATAGGCAGGGAGTCAGAAAGTTAGGCAAGGAAAAAATTTTGCCTAAAGCTTAGCTTGTATATCCCCAGCACAGCTTGTATGGCAGTTATCACCCCTAAGCTAATGAGCTAGCTCCCTGTAAGGGCTGAAGGATTGCTTCCCTGGGCCGGACCCACATGGCATCTGACAGGGAGAACAGCCATACTTGTACTGTGGTGGAAACCATAATAATGTAACAGGGAAAAGAAAAACAAACCAGCTCTCAAAGAGCTAGAGAAGAAGCAGTCACTTAGTGCACAAGGACACAAGATCAGGGACACATCTCAGAACCTAAGAACTCTTAAGTATCCACTCACTACTACGTACACCATCAGCATCGTTTCCTCCCAATGTCCTAACCAGTCTAACATCCAAGGATTCAGATATTCCATTTATTGACAAATCATCAAATCATTTTTACCACAACAGCTTCCTGTTGCGATTATTGTCCTATAGAATAACCCTCACTAGCAGAACTCACAAATGAAGTCACCATTGATAACCACATTTCCCCCAAACAACTCTAGATCTTGAATATACCTAAGGCAGTGAGAATAATTTTCAGTTAGAAATATTCTTTGCAGTCCTCATGGCCAGCCTAACCTCAAAAGCACTCATATTTCAATGTTTTCCTTCTTATTTTTCATGTTTTCTATACCCTAAATCATTATTTAACTGTACAGAGCTTGATATTAAAACCTATCATTATCTCAGAACTATGGCTCATATTTCATCTCAAAAATATTTGCTTACCCAGAATTGAGTAAGAAAAACAACTTGAAACCCAGTTATTTATTTAAAAAAAATTATTTCCTTATTAAAAAATGTTTTAATTGAGATAAAAAACACAGCATAAAATGGATTATCTTAACCATCTTTAAGCATACAGTTCAGTAGCAGTAAGTATATTCACACGGCTGTGCAACAGATCTCCAGAACTTCTCCATCTTGCAAAACAGAAAAGGTATCCATTAAATGATTTACCCGTTTCTGCTAAGCACCATTCTGCTCTGTTTCTATGAACTGACTACTCTAGATACTGCATATGAGTAGAATCAACACAGTATTTGTCTTTTGTGACTGACCTATTTCCCTTGACATAAGGTTCCTCAAGGTTCATCCAAGTTGTGGATTGTGACAGGATTTTCTTCTCTTTTAGGGCTGAGTAATACTCCATTGTGTGTTTTACATATATATACATATATCACTTTTTGTTTATCCATTCATCCTGCAATGGATATTTGGGTTACTTTCATCTCTTGGCTATTATTAATAATGCTGTTATGAACCTAAATGTGTAAATATCTGAGACCCTGCTTTCAATTTTTTTGGACATATACCAAAGTAAAATTCCTGGATCACATGGCACTTCTATTTATAGTTTTTAGAAAAACTAATATACTGTCTTCCACAGCAGAAATCCCACACAGAGTGCGCAAGGTTTCTAATTTCACCACATCCTCACCAACACTTGTTATTTATTTATTTATTTATTTCACATCCTAATGGGTGTGAGGTAATATGGTTTTAATTTGTATTTCCCTAATGATTAGTGCAATTGAGCATGTTTTCATATGCTCTTTGGCCATTTGTGTATCAGCTTTGGAAAAATGTCTACTCAAGTCCTTTACTATTTACTTTTAAGAGAGAGAGGCAATTTTAAAGTCATTATCCAAGTCATGATCTCTATAAAAATTTATTTTATAAATGGTTTGAGATGATCTGAAACTGGAATGCAAATAACACATTATTCTTTTTAAATGTCTGTATCTCTGTAAATCTACATAGAAACCCAGGAGTTCTATAAATCAAACAAACACAGCAAGTGATTTCATTTCCACATACACAGCAGAAGTTTTAATTCTTTATTAAAGATAATTTTGTTAGCATGGTAAGTAAGTAGGCTTGTAATTTATAACTTAGGAACTGTTTACTGATTTTTCTGACAGATAACATCAAATAATGATAATGAAATGATATAATGGAAAAGAAACTGCCAAAGGGTTATTTTGATTATATTGGAATTTTTGTATTAAGTAACCTTAAGTTGGGAAGCGTCTGGTCCACGCCCCACTATGCTTCTTGAGGGTATTTTCTTCCATTGGCTCCTACTCTTTGGTGCCCCACTTACATCAGTATTTCTCAAAGTAAGATCCATAGACCACTTGCCCTGGAATCACCTGGGTCATGTAGAAGGGCAAGTTTTGGTTAAAAAGCCAGATTTCTGGGCTCTACCCTGCCTTCCTCTTTTTCATATAGGTTCCTATGATGGCACTTGACACATTATGTATTTGATTATTATCTGTTTCTCCTCACTCCAATTTAAACTCTGTTTTGTTCACTGCTGTATCTTTAGTGTCTACAGTATGATACACATAATAGGTACTCAAATATTTGTGGAATAAATGTTGATGAACAAATCTGTTACTGTTTGTTGATAGTACATTAACATCTATCAAAATATAGTATCTGATTTGGCATAAACTTATGGATTCATTCATTTTAATTTTTAATTTATGTCCTGAGGTCTGCAAAGTCATTATGCTTTCCATTTGCCCTAACTTCTGAATGAATCTGAATACAACTGTCACAAGTTTCATATCACCTCTATCCCAAAATATTTCATGAATTGCTACTACTTACAGAGAAAAACTATACTTCTTAGAATGAGTCTGAGACCCTCCATGATTTAGTGCCAGCCTGCCTCTTTGGCCTCTTCTACAACATTCTTCTCTGCAGACCTCACTGAAGTCTTGTACAGGCACTTGTCCACTCCAGTTTTACATGGTTCTATTAGTCAGAAATGCTATTTTACCCTTGCTGTTTGCCTACATGCTACTTGCCTTTCAAGGCATGGCTTAAAGGTCAGCTCCAGATAAGGCTTATTCCCCAAATGCTACAGCTCAATTTAACTGCCCTGTTTCTCAGTTTGCATACACCAAATATTTAACACAGTGCTTTCCATATGCTAATGGTCTCCAAGAACTTTTACTTAATGTCCATAGGACTAATTGTGAGTAGGCTGTAACTTACCAGTTGCAAAGCCTGGCTCTGAGTCATTGCTCTTACCATCACTGTCTTCCAAAAGAATCTTCCTCTGCTGAACTGCAGCTTTAGATGCTGCTTTTCTTTTTCCCTGAGCACCAGGCAAGTCATCTTCCTCAGTAATCTTATCCAGATCTTCAGAAGAGGCATGAAAATCAATGAAAAACTTTTTGTGCCCAGTAATATTTAAAGAACTGCAAAATAGACGTATATTACATCTGTTTTTATCTGCCCAGCTTCATTCCTCCCCTGCTTCTAGTAATAGACCACGTAATCCAATCTGGGCCAATCATAACACAAAGAGTCTCCAAAGGGTCCAGTTTAAGGATAAGTCCAAGACCCAAACACAGAGTGTCTTTCCCCAAAAAATTTCAAACTGGGGCTGGAAAGAGCAGCCCCTTTCTTCAGCGGTCAAATGCTGCTGGAGGCCATGGGTGGTCATAACCGTCTACCAGGGATGAAACTGGGTCTGCAGTAAAACAGGGCTCAAACAAACAAGAAGTGAAGAGAACCTTGGCAAATTTAAAGACCCTGATTCTAGCTACAGGTTCAGGAATTTAAATAAAGGAAAATAGCACTATTGATAAATAAATATTAGTATTAAAAACTTACCTAAATAATCACTGGCTACACTGCAATTGGAGATATGGGGAGATTTATTCATGGTTTCTGTTTCACTATTGCAACATTTTTCAATGCCTAAAGATAAGGAAGGTGTAAAAAGACGCAAATGCACTTAATCAATGTCTAGAAATAGAAAATTAGTGCTAAAATGTAATAGCATCCAGATGCAGATAAATGATCCAAACTCAAACAAGCACAGTGACACTTTACCTGGACAGGCTAGCATATGGTCAGGAGTTTGGGCCTGAAAGCCAACAGACGTCATCAGACTTAAGCTCAAATCCAGCCATTACCACTTACACCGGCTATAGGACCATGGGAAAACTGCTTATCCTCTTTAAGACTTAATTTCCTCATGTGTAAAGTGGAGACAAAAACAGTGTGGTAATTAAGTGGGGTTACTGTGGGGGATCAAATGTCTGTTGCATGTGGAAACTGCTTATTGCAGCCCAGCAGATAGGAAATGGTCAATAAACAGTAACTACCATTTCTGTGTAGAGAATTCCACGCTTTTACTAACATAATCATTACAACATAATCTTCAATCATTATAATAACCTTAAAATGATCAAAAGTATTTAAGGGGACTTCAAGTCATAATAATTGGTACCATTAAATCCCAGTGCTACAAATATCACGTACATTATTCCATGAGAAGTGGCACATCCAAGAATCCTACTGCACATTCTACAGTCTCTTACAGGAAAGAGATGAATGTCATGTTCTCAGTTTTGGACACTATTGATAAATAAATATTAGTATTAAAAACTTACCTAAATAATCACTGGCTACACTGCAATTGGAGATATGGGGAGATTTATTCATGGTTTCTGTTTCACTATTGCAACATTTTTCAATGCCTAAAGATAAGGAAGGTGTAAAAAGACGCAAATGCACTTAATCAATGTCTAGAAATAGAAAATTAGTGCTAAAATGTAATAGCATCCAGATGCAGATAAATGATCCAAACTCAAACAAGCACAGTGACACTTTACCTGGACAGGCTAGCATATGGTCAGGAGTTTGGGCCTGAAAGCCAACAGACGTCATCAGACTTAAGCTCAAATCCAGCCATTACCACTTACACCGGCTATAGGACCATGGGAAAACAGCTTATCCTCTTTAAGACTTAATTTCCTCATGTGTAAAGTGGAGACAAAAACAGTGTGGTAATTAAGTGGGGTTACTGTGGGGGATCAAATGTCTGTTGCATGTGGAAACTGCTTATTGCAGCCCAGCAGATAGGAAATGGTCAATAAACAGTAACTACCATTTCTGTGTAGAGAATTCCACGCTTTTACTAACATAATCATTACAACATAATCTTCAATCATTATAATAACCTTAAAATGATCAAAAGTATTTAAGGGGACTTCAAGTCATAATAATTGGTACCATTAAATCCCAGTGCTACAAATATCACGTACATTATTCCATGAGAAGTGGCACATCCAAGAATCCTACTGCACATTCTACAGTCTCTTACAGGAAAGAGATGAATGTCATGTTCTCAGTTTTGGATATGACAGTCCTCTCTTTTACATGTCTTTGGTTCCTGATTACTGAAAGGCTCCCCCATCAATACTGCTGCATTCATCTTCAAATAGGAGATAATACTGACTTAAACATCTATAACCTTAAATAAGGTGATGGGCTAAAAATATTCTCCAACGTAAAAGTCAAATCAAAATAATTTAATCCAAAAAGGATTTTAGCGGTTTTGGATGTCTTTTCCAGGAACAATGATTTCTGCCTCTCCAGAATATCATCATTGCCGTCTGCTGCAGAGTCACCAGAAAAATCAAAGGACCAAAATAGAGAAATCCAAAAGTCATAAATCTTCTAAGTCTACTGAACTTGCTAACCAACTTAGTATCCTCAACTCCATAAGTAATAAAAATTATCATTATTAGGTCATTTTTAACATATGTAAATTTTGAGAGAAAGGAAGTAGATTGCTAGGATTGTACAGATTGAGTCACTTAATCAAGAAATTAAATGTTCAATGTATACAAAGATGTACTTTGAACATCCAAGCTCATAGTCATTGTCCTCAAGTTTACTTTGGGTGTTAAGCAAAGACGTATGTATGTATGCACGAGATTCAGATAGCAGAATAAACACTTGTATTCAGTTGTACCCTCTGCATATTGCTCCATTTATAGTCCAAAGTATTAAAATTCTATTCTTTCCTTTGTTAAGGCTCCTCCAAAGAAATGATTACAAAAGTAGTAAGGTTATAAAGATAAATATACAGAAAACAAAGTTACTTTTATCTTGAGACTCCTCCACATCAGTGGTGACTGTTGGAACTTCCTTCACTGATAAAGCCAGTGCAACTTCTAAGTCTCTCCGGTAGAGTTTGTCATCTAAAGCCATCCTAAAATAGACACACAAATAATAATGAGTGTTTAAAAATATCAATCTCAATTAAACTTGTTCTGAATACAAGTCCCTCATCAATTATATAGTTTGCAAATATCTTCTCCCATTTCTGGGCTGTTTTCCCACTACAGTTAAAATGTAGTATAAGAAGCTCAAAATCAAAAACCAAAAAAAAAGTAAAAAAAGTAAAGAGAATGACATGGTTAAGTTTCTCTGTGTTAATTAACTTTCCTCCCGCCTATAGCAGTGACCGATCCCATGCCCCATGCTCTACTTGTGAATATTCCTTTTCTGCCCATCTCCTCCCCATACTTCAGGTTTGGGGCCTCTCAGGACTTCCTTCCCTCACAGTCTCTTCTCTCTTGACACCAACCTAATGTTAGTCCAGGGCTACTTTGGAAATAATAGGACGTTCTCACTGCTGGACAAGTCTCAACAATATAAAGAGTATATGTCTTTTATATGCAAACAAATACATCATTCTAAATTTTTAAATGTCCTTATAAAATGTCCTTTTAAATCATTAAAAGTGTGCTTATAAATATTATTTTTAACAAAATACTTGTGAAGATTGATGGACTTCAGAGGCAGGTACAGGGTCCTGAGAAAGTAAGCTGTAACTTCTAAACTCTGTAATTATGATGGTGTTCCCATGTAAACAGACATTTCCTTACATGTTTGTGAAATTTCTTTTTTAAGTCAGAAAATCTTAAGGGGATTAATGGTACATCCCTGTTCTCCTACAAGCACTAAATAATACCATGACTCTGCTTGTGTTCTCATTTAAACGAAGAGTTGGGATCTATCTATCTTCTAAATTAACACATTTAATGTCACGTATTTCCTGTATGTCTTACCTCTCACCTTTTTTTAGGGGTTTTCTCTTGTAGTGGGATCTCTTCATTCTGGAGATTCTTCAGTTTTGCTTTCGGGTTTTCTAGTTTTACCTCCTTTGGTGTTGTTTTGGATTTCTTAGTTGAAGGTGCAGTTGCAGAAACAAAGTCATCTATTTATGTGTCAATTAAAAATAAAAGAATATAAGAAATAGCTTTTCCTAAGTAAGAATAAATATAATCTTTTGAAATTCATTGCAGTGTGTTTAAGTTTAAAGGTTAGGCAAATTGTTTAATTTCCACAATTTAAAAACTATTGTTGGTATATTGTTTGCCTTTATTTTTATTCATGCTTTTCAATTTTGTCTTAATCCAAAAAGCATTTTAGCAGCTTGGATGTTTTTTACTTATTAAAATACCAATCTATTAAAAACTAATTCACTACAAAAATGATATAGTTCTTCTGTTGATACTCAACATATAACTATTGCTATAACTTATAAACTTATCCATGACACATGTATGCATACCTTCAGGGCACATGCAGTCTTATTCATGTACTTTAGCATTTACTAATATATGTTCTCTCCTTTATGCTTCTCCATGTAGTAATACAATAAATTGTGACTTGCCCTGCACACATAGTATCTAGAACACAACCAGCATTTTATAAATATTTGGTGACAAACTGATGATAGTAGCAAAATGCTGGAAGTTATATTTTATGCTATTTTCCCTGTTTTAGACACACTTAAGGCTGTGCCCAATGCAAAAAACAGATTCCTTCAACCCTTAGAATTACTAAATGCTTGACTCGCAGAAAGATACAGCAGTCTAAGAAATACAAAACCTACTTTAAAGTATAATGTAATCTAACAACCTGAGGTTTCTCAAACTCTTTGACTGAAGTTAATGGCCGGGAAATAAATATATAACCTAACAGGGTATAGCTTAAGCCTAAGCTTTCTTCAAGGCCTTCTTTTGTCTTACAATTAATGGGGATTTCACAGTTACTAAATGTAGCTATGTATACACACACAACAAGCAATTTATATACTGTAACACACCTATGTTTCAAAAATACAATGTGTTCCCTCTCAGAAGGACAGGAGGATACAAACCCCACATTTGAGAAATGTGGACCTAGGGTAGCTTAGACCCAAAGAGCTATTTCACCTATCCCTGTTCATTTATCACCTACCTACACAATTCTTATCAGTGTAATTACTGGGATAATTGTCTCAAATGCTTCGAAAATTATTTTTCCAGACCTACCTCATATGCAATGGGTACTATGTTGAATATCTGAGAGAGATATATATACATCCTACAAATTCTGAGGAAATAAATTTCTAAGTCTTTAAAGCAAAAAATAAGAATCCCTACTTACCATCGCTGTCAGAGTTCTCAAACTGTGAGTAATTGACTGGCTTCTTATGCCTATGACCAAAACAGAATTTTTTCTAATTTACACAAATGTCAATTTCTCACCTCATTCCTTAAGACCACTGATAGTCTTGAATAAATAAAAACATGTTTGGATAGTCTTAAGAATACATAAACTTCAAACACAATATGGATTTTATAGCAGGGAATCAGCATTAGCAGACATAGTTATAACTGTATTTGACATACTTGATAAGAAAAATAATTAATTTAAAAAATTAACCATACTACACTGATGGACAGTGACTGCAATGGGGTATGGGGGGTGACTCGATAATAAGGGTGAAGGTAATAACCACACTGTTCTTCTTGTGAACCCTTCATAAGAGTGTACATCAAGGATACCTTAATAAAAAATAATAATAATAAAAAAGCACATTGTCAATGGGAAGTGATGCAGACAGCATATGCCCATTACAGTGTGATGAGACGGGCTCTCTGCCTCCAGGGCATTTTTCCCCAAGGCCATGACCACGGTCATCACAGGAAAACAGCGGAAAACCTAATGCCTTAGTCCGTTCAGGCTGCTACAATGAGATTCCACAGACTGGATAGCTTATACACAACAGACATTTATTCCCCTCATTTCTAGGGGTTAGAGGTCCAAGATCAGGGTGCCAGTATGGGTGGCTAGGTGAGCACCCTCTTTCAGGTTGCAGATTTCTTGAAGGCTCCTCACATGGTGGATGCGGGGTCCTCATGACCTCACTTCCTAATACCATCACACTGGGGATCAGGATTTCAACATATGGATTCAGCACAAACATTCAGATCATGGCAGCCAAATTGAGAGACATTCTACAAAATACCTAACCAGTACTCCTCAAAACTATGAAAGTCTTGAAAAGGAAAAGAAAGATGGAGAGACTCCAGCCCAGGGAAGCGTAAGGAGACACAGCGACTAAAAGCAATGCAGTGCTTTGGATAGGATCCTGCATGTGAAAAAAACTAGAGAAATCCAAATAAAGTCTGGAGTTGAGTTGACAGTAATGTACTGATGTTGGTTTCTTAGTTTTGACAGAAGTACCATGGAAATATAAGACATTAACATTAGGGGAAACCAGGTGAAGTGTATAAAGGATCCCTCTGTACTTTCCTTGAAACTTGGTTAATCTAAAATTATTTAAAAATAAAAAAATTAACCCCCCAAGAGCAGGAATAAAACAATATGCCACATTAGTTTTACATTGTGGTCAGAGAAGGAAAAGAAAGATGGGGAAAAAAATCCATCCAAAAAAGACAGAGATAGAGGCAGGGACATCCAAAGAGCAACAGACAGGTACAGAAATAGACTGGTGGGCTCCGGGAGGGTGTGAGAGCTCCTGCGCCTTGTTATGTGGCTCCCTGCTACTCTCTTAAGCCACAGGGAGCAGAGAAAAGGATCATTCTTTAAACCAAGTTAGAGATCTTACATGGGCTGGAAACATATGAATAGTGAGAAACTACTCTGCCTTTCTCTATTTCCAAATGTTAGGTATGTTTTCTATGTGAATCTGAATGTTCTGCAGATGTGTGAATAGCTTTGGTTTAGCAAGTTTTCAGGAACCTTGGTGAGACTGATCACTGAGCTTTTGACTCCGAAAACTGTCATGTGTCATAGAGATGTTCTTGGAGAATCCCACACCCTCTAGTGTCCCAAAGCCAACAGGATATATTCAGAATTGATCTTGACTTCATCCTGATGGGCACTTCAATTTAGGAATCAATCAGTTTTGGTCTACCTGAAAATAGATATAATGGGAAGCAAAAAAAAAAAACCTAAAATAAATCTCTAAGGTCAGGTTAAGTTTTCACAACTGCACATATGAAGTCTTCGGGGGTTCTTTTTTTAAAAGAAGACTCCCAGTATTTCACAGACACTTCCCTGATCATTTAACCTGCAGCTAATCTGCAATTAATACCTGCTAATAATTTCTTCAGATCAACGTGCACTCACTTATACTTTCCATGGTGTTTTTCCGTAAAGGACTTGAGACGGTACTAACCATAAGTCAGGGTAGTCTTGATAAGGTTGTGTGAGATAGTAACAGCCAATCAAAGATATTAGATTAGTGTGTTCCTGAAACCAACTCAAACATGTATTTCAAGGATGGGATACTCACATCCAGTTTTCCAAATCTTTTACTGACATTGATCAGAGAACCCACATACCATATTATATACGATGAAATCTCTATCTAGAAAAACTGATTGAGATTTTGATAATGTTTAATATGTTGGAAGTAGGAGGGTAGGGAGACAGATTTGGGAAAACATCTCAGGGACTGCATATTTCATCTTGAATTAGTTTTATACCATAAATGTGAAGTTCTTATGAGCTTGGAAATGCAGAAAATTATATAAACTCTTTAACAAGTGCCAAAGTTCTAAAGTGCCCTCTTATATTTGTTTTCCTTTCCAGTGACACCACATGCCAAATCTGAATTGGATTAAGTCTGCTGAATTTGCTATCAGTGCTAGGAACTATGTAGCCCATACAGAAAAAAAACTTCACCTAGAAATGCAAAAAAAAAAAAAAAAAAAAAAAATTAACCAACAAACCAAGAATAATCAATATAACACAGTTTATATACTGTTTAATTGCTATTAGGTATTTATAAGTTCCTGTCATATATATTCTTTGGTTTTATATGTGCCTTAGTCTTCTTTACTATAAACTTCTTGACACTAAAAGCCATTTTCTGTTTTTTTTTAAATCTCCTAAGAAAAATGTTCCTTATGCAGTGGACACTTTAAAATGGTGAATGACTTTGTACCTGCCACCTGAACTACATCTTTATACTACTTTAGAGGTACTAGAAGTGATAAGTGAAGGAAGTAAAATCATTTCCCTCTCCCTCCTCTAGGCCCTAAATGAAATGACATTTTAGTTTTCATTTCCATCTTCTGCCAAATACCCAAGTGTGAATAACCTAGATTGTCAGTTGTTCTTGTAAGTAAAAATGGTGTTCTATGAAAACGAGGCTAGTTCAGCCCATGATTCAAACAACCTCACTAGTGTTTCTCCTAGACAACAATTGGAGAAGTGCTTTATGGACATTTCTTATTCCCTCCTACAGAATAGTTCAATGAAATATACTCTTGTTACTCTCCTACTCTATGGAGTCAAAGAATTTGAGAGCTGCATAAATATGGAAACCCTTTGGAAATTCTGAGATTGAATGATAACAATAAAATGAAGACTCTCAAATAAAAGAAGCATGGTCAGTGGTTGAGCTATAATGAAAATAATCCTTACTGCTTCATCAAGCACCTGACACTGCCATTTAATTTTTCTCCTCTGAGTGTGTACAGAATACAAGGAGTTTGGTGGCACTGCCTGGATTTATGCTCAGGTGCCAGCAGTTCTACCGCCACTGCAGTGCAGATGAGAAAACAATGAAAAAAGCAAGTTAATATTATTATGGTAATAATGTTGACTTCATGGACCTCCCAAGAGGGTCTCAGGGACTCCTAGGGGTCTGCAGACCCTACTTTGACAACTGCTGTTCCGGACAGAGGGATTGTGTCTTCACTACTTGGTCGTTTAAAACCCATTCCAAATTTATATGCTCCAATCAGAACTCTTGATCCTTCACACCTCCTGAACCTGTTCCTTTTCCTAGTATTTCCTGCCTCCACACAAAGGTTATATCCTCTCAATAGCTCAAGTAAAAATAATACAAAGTCATCTGGGGTCTTTTTTTCCCTTACCTCCACACCCACTTCGTCAGCAAGTTGTCAGTGCTACCTCCAAAATACATCCCAACCTCATCTGTCCCATTCTATGTGCACTGATAACACTCTACCTGAAACCACTGCCCAGTAATAGCCTCCTATTTCCTGCTCCCATTATGGTCACCCTCTCTCTCAATCATTCTCCACCAGCAGCCAATGAACTTTATAAAAACAAAATGAGATTTCCCTTCCCTGTTTGAAACTCTCCAATGACTTCCCACTGCACTTAGAACAAAATCCAAACTCCTTTCTAAAACCTACAAGGCCCTACCTGCTCTGGCCCCTCCCTATTTCTGACTTAATCCTCTACAATGCACCCGACTGACTGCTGGTGCTAAGGCTTTACTGGCCTTCCTTCTGTCCCTCAGTCATGATCAAGCTCAGGGCCTAGGCTCTTGTTCCCTCTACGTTGATTCCCTCAGATTTTCACTGGCTAATTCCTTCTTGTCATTCTCATCTCATCTCACATATGATCCCCTAATGGTGCACACCCTAACTACCTAAAGGCCTTCCTCCTCCTCACTCCCTATCACTTTGCCATGTTTATTTTGGGGCCCCCAACCTCACCAATGACAGAATGTAACCCCCTGACAGCTACTACAATACAGAGGTAAATATTGTCCTTAACTTTACTAAATAAATGGCTGACCCTGGGCCTCCACAGCACTCACCTGTGGTTAAACGGAGGAACAGTTTCAAAAAGGATAATGGAGAGCGCAGAGGATCTGAAGCTAGGTGTCATAGGTTTGGAATCTTCCTGCCATTCGCCAGCTGTGTGAACTCAGGTAAATTGGCTTTTATGCCTAGGAGTTTACATCCATAAAACAGGGATACTTAAAGTGCTATATCAAAGAACTATAGGGATGAACAAGTGAAGCAATACCCAAGTCGGAGCTCGGTGAAATGCAAAGCGCTGTTCCAATGCAAACATACCAAGGTTTATTTTGAATGGGATGGGAGACAGGGCGGTAGCTACGAAGGGAGCCAGGGGGAAGCACAAAGCTAGGATGCTCTGGGGAGCGGTGGCTCTCGTGGAGCCTGGAGAGCTGTCCAGTAACTGTCCATCCCACCGCACCACCACCGCCTTCCGTCCTACTCGGCCTTTTCCCCTCAATCGTGTGCAGGAGAGGTTGCCTACAGCGTCTTTCTGCTCTTCCCGTTCACGCCGGATGTCACGAACTACTCACCTCACAGGACGCACCATGGTCCCCTTCAAGGCTTGAGATTTGCGAGTCTTGAGTTCTCGTTGGTAACAGTGGCAGTTTCAATTCCCGCCTAAAGTCGGACACCGGAGCTCTCCGCCCCCTGCCACCGGTCCTCCAATGACGACCAGCCATCTTGAGGCAGCGCATGCGCTCTGAGAGGAGCGCATTTGTTCCCGCCCTTCACAAGACATTGCCCTTCCGCATCCGGTCTGCCCGGAACGAGTTTGTGCTTCGCTACTGCATTTTCGTCATGACAGTGGCTCTCGCTCCGTCTCCGAAATACACAATATCAATGAAAGTATGGCTTTCTACGCTTTATAAATGATCAGACATAGATATTATGGTACGAGAGGGCACTTATGTATAGAGGAATTTTCTACAGGGGACTAAGAAAGGGGAAAAGGTGTGGACGAATCTGCCGAAGCGGATTTGCTGGCTGTATAAACAGAGCGGTAAGTCAGCTGACTTTCGTTGTTTCCCCGGCTCCTGCGCAGCTTGGTGTGTGCGGACCGTGAAGGACTTCGGAAAGAGGGGAGGTGAGCCTAGAAAGCGCGAGGAGGCCCGTTGAGACCGAACCCCTCGAATGGAGGAGCTGTCCACCTCGCTTGGCTGGAGCTCCGCGGCCCCACTGTTGGCCCTCCCTTTCCCTGACTAATTTGAACCTCAGAGGCTCCTTGGTCTTTTGAGTTCGGTCCATCTCTCCACCTCCCATCCCACTTTTCCATGGGAAACCTTCCATGATTTCACCCTTGCTATAAAAAGTGGAGAGAGGAAATTAAAGAACAGTTGAAACGTAATATATCTAAACGTCGAAATGATTGAAACTAATAGTTTTTGTTGATAGAAAATATCGAAGCTAAGCGAGATTAGATCATAAGGCCTTGTTTCCGTGACTTTCAGTTCTCTTCTGCGTTTCTTTACTGCCTGTCTTCCCCACGTGTATTCACTGAGCAACCTGTGTATTTTTTACTGATCTGTTAGAGAGCTTCTTTTATTATTACTATTCTAATTTGTTTATCATCATGTTTGTCAGATGCTTCGTATTTATTATTTGATTAATCCTTACGACACGCCTGTGAGTTGAAAGGCTTCTTGGGGCCTAAGCTGAGACCTGCAGAATGAGTAGATGTTACCCAAGGAAGGAAGAGCAGTAACAGTGCTCTAGGCAAAGGAAAAACATTTTAAAATGTTGGAAGTTGAAATAAGATTTGGTATTGAAAGGAGTTCCGTAAGGCTGGAAAATAAAGTTTGTGGATTTGTGTGTTGCGAAGCAGGAGTGCAGGTGCTGAGAAAGAAAGTCTGGAGCTACAGGCAGAGGCGTTGTAATTGGGGTTAAAAAGTGAATTTTATTCTGAGAGCAATGGAATGTATAAAGGATTTTAAGCAGATGAGCAACATGATCAGATTTGCCCTTTGGAAAGATTATTATGACTTTAGTGTAGAGAACAGTATGAGAACTGAGTTGATGGGGGGAAATCTAGAGACTGGGCGTCTGGTAAGGAGGCTCATAGATGTGATGTTGAGTCTTACTCTTTTTGACTAGTGTCCATTTGCCTTGTGGAGGATTCTGTTCTATTTTCCATATATCTTCTTCCCACGTGGAACTCTTTTTCACACTGTCTCCATTCCCTCCACCCCCAGTCAGATTCATTTACATCTGAAATTGCTAAGATCACTTCTTGGTCCCTCATCTGTTTCTTTGACTTTGTATTCACCAGCTGTTTCACAATTCCTTATATGCCCGCCCATGCATCTCCTTCTAAGAATCCTTTCTGCTCCTCTCTCCATGTTCCTTCCCCATTCTTGAGAACCCTGCCTAGGAATGCAAAGTACTTAAAGAGCATAGTTTTATTTCTTAAATGAAGTTTAAAAAGGAATTTTTCATTAAAGAAAGAAACATATCAGTGAAATAAGCCGGGCAGAGAAAGAAAAGTACCATGTGATTTCATTTGTTTGTGGAATATAAAAAAAGCAAAACAGCAACAGACTCACAGACACTGAGAAGTGACCAGTGGTTACCAAGGGGGAGGGGAGTAGGTGGGGATGGGAACTGTTGAAACACTGTGTTGTACATTTGATAAAATAAAATAAAAAAACGCAAGCACTTCATTTTCATCATTGTCTTGCCTGAGGGATTTAGCCCCGGGCAGGTTGACTGTGGATTCAGTGAGACCATGAAATGACAATGGAAAGTTCTTGGGGGAAAAAGAGTTTATACCCAGCTTTATTTTCCTGGCGGTAGGTCAAGCACTAGAATCACATCTGAATCTAACAGTCTGCAGTTCTGTAATCCTCCTCCATCTCTGCCTCCACCCAGAGCACAGGGCAGAGCTCTTTATATAGTGACTCAGTCAATACTAGCTTATTGCTTGCAGGTTTGGAAGCAATAGCCTAGCAGTAGGCCAATTGCATTATCAAGTAGTTTAGGGTTAGGTGAGGTTCCTCGCAATAGGAACTTCCATTTTCCCCACAATCATGAAGATGAAAATGCAAGGACAAATTTAAGAAAAACTAGATAGCTCAGAGTCACACAAATGAAATCTCTGAGTGTTGGAATGTTTTCTTAGAAGTGGTACAGCAATAATGAAGCATTTTCTTAATGGACTTATAAGATGCTGCTTTTTTTCAGTGGTTCTGTAGAAATCCTGCCCAAGAAGATGAAGAAAAACAGAGAAAGATACTGCAACAGAGAGAGGGAATTTGTATATAAATTCAAAGTGGGAGGTCAATGCTTAGAACTGAGGGTGCCCCTCAAATTTCCTGTTCAAGAGAATGCCAGTCATTTACATGGACGTCTGATGCTACTACACAGTTTACCATGCTTTATAGAAAAAGGTAAAGACTAATTTTGTAGTACTTTATTTTCCTGTTGTCTCTGTCATTAGAAGTTTCATGCTAGAAAGCATAAACCTAGAAGCATTGAAACAGCCATAAAATATGTGTTTAACCACTTCCAGGAATAATAAGGTTTCCCAGACCTTTGTTTTATTGAGGGTTTTTTCCTGTAACCCTTAAATTGTTTGTAAGGCAGTTTAATGTAAAAAATTATATAGTGAAAAAATTTGTTACAAGGTTTGGATTAGAACTATTAATGTCTTAGTTTTATTGGATGGATTCATAAAGCATTTCAGTGACCATTAATTACAATATTATAGAAGTATATTCCAAAATGCATTGCCTTTTTAATCTGATCCTCAATTCCTGAGATGTCATGAAAGAGAAGGAATACTAATCTGTGAATAATTTCTTCTTACCATTCTTCTTACCAAAATTGATTCTATTAGGTCATCTGTATTAAACCATTTATAAGGTCTATGTTCTATATCGCAAATGAGGAAATAAATTTTAAATTGAGAATATATTGGATCATACAAAGTTAGAGTTACAAGGGAACTTAGGCACTTTCTAGCACAATCTCATACAAATGAGACTGTTATTTAAAAGATTAAATTATTTACCCAAGGCAGTGGTTCTCAACAACTGTTCTCTGATCAGAAGCTGTAGCATCACCTGGAAACTTGTTAAAATTGCAGATTTAGAGGCCCCACCTCATTCTGCTTAACCAGAAACCCTGGGGGTGCCATGCAGCACCCTAGGGATACTCTGATGGGTGGTAAAGATTGAGAACACTGGCCTAGAGTTACAAACATAGAAACAGAGCCAAGACCAGAAGGCATCCTGACTTTATTCTAATGCTCTTTCCATTATATCAGTTTCTAAGTAGTGTTTCTAACACTGGAATTACAGATCTGAAGTAAATCAGTTTTAATATACTAATCTTCAGTTCCTCTTTCAAATTAAAAGACTGTAACTATATATAGATCTAGATATGTAGATATATAACTTTCATTTAAATACAATGACATTTAGACCGCCCAAACCTGTATGTATTTTTTAATGTACTTTTTTACCTACACTTAAGAAATTAACATTTTAAAATTAGTATCAAAGTTATACATAAGAGTGAAGAATTTTGACCGTTTTCCATGCAATAACCTATAATAGTAAAGAAAAATAATTATGAAATCAGTTAAATAATTCCCTTAGTTGATTTTTATGAAATATTTAGGTACTTACTATATATAGATACTCCATCAAGGGTATAAACTTAATAAAATAAAATTTCACATTGGACTGCTTAGCCCAGTCAAATGTTGCCTATTTATGTCTGGATTTTTCTGATGATGGCATTTCTTATCCATGTAACAGACTTAAAAGAAGCTCTGAGTCAGTTTATAGAAGAAGAATCCCTCAGAGATTATGATAGAGTTGCTGAAGCATCTCTGGAAGCTGTGAAATCAGGTGAAGTAGATTTACATCAGCTGGCAAGTTCATGGGCCAAAGCTTATGTCGAGGTGAGAAAATCAGATTGTAAATTTTAAGGATATTCTGGACTTTAAACAGGATTTTTAAATTGCTAATACAGAAACAGTTATAGAATCCTTTTTTCTCTATGTACAAAAATTCATCCCATACTATACAATATATATTGATGCTTGTGTTTTTTTATCTGGTTAAGCACAGATGACACAACTTTATGCAATGTCTTTGTAAAACAACAGGCTGTTTTCATATTTCTGACCAGCATTGGGTTGCAGGATTTAGCAATTAAAAATACAGGATATCGGGATATCCAGTGTCTTGACAATGGGTTTCAGCCCTGTGTAAGTTCACTATGGATTCAAAGAGACCGAAAAAATGACAGTGGGATGTTCTTGGGGGTGAAAGCATTTATACCCAACTTTTTTCCCACAGTGGCAGGTCAGTCACTAGAATCCCATCCACTTAGAGTGAGTCTGCATGCAGCAAGCCAGTCGCTGCCTCTGGGCCTCTCTGTCCCTGTAGCGGTCTCAGTCTCTGTTCTCGGCACTGCCACCACTCCAGGCTCTGCTCTCCTGCAGCCTTGCAGCCCTGCAGCCCTGCAGCCCTGCAGCGGCCCAGAGCACTGGGTGGAGCTCTTTATTAGAGACAGTAACAACATACTGCCCACGTGTGTATTGAGCAAGCCGACCAGGGCCTGGGAGAATCCTGGCTATAGGAACCTTCACTCTCACCACACCCAGTCAACTTAGAATTTCAGAAAAACGGTGAATAGTGGTTTTAGTATAACTATATCCTACATATTACATGGAATGTGTAATTTTTTAGTATGAGTATATCCCACATTTACATGGGAATATACTTCAAAGTAAAAAATTCTCATTTAATTGGGTGACCTGTATGTATTTGGCAACCCGAAACTAACAGTGGTAGTTCATTTTAAAGTTTGTTTTACTTTTGTCCTCTCACTTATTGTCACTGTTGTTAAATAATTTCATGTCATAATTTTTCCATTTAAATAGTGCACTTCATTTCATAAAGTCTAAGATGCCATCATTCGTAACACACACCATTATTTAATTTACTACTAAGAAAGAACACCACCACCAATTAAACTCTGATAGGATGCCAGGATACCTTCAAGTATAAGATGTATCCTGATTTTTGAGAGTTGTAATGTGAAAAGATATGCATCTTAGAGTTGATGAGATACAGTATGTTGAGGATCTACTATATCTCAGGTACTGTACTTGGTGTTGGGCATAAAATAATGAGCAAGACACAAAACGAAATTTCATTTTAGATAGAGAGTCAGATACAGAACTACAGAAACAGACAACTAAGTCCAATAATTACAAGCTTTAATGAGTGAATTACATCCCACTTTAAGCAACTCTGTCTATGAGAATTTGAAAATATCAATTTTATGGAGTCACATTTGTTATTAAGAGCAGATTGCTCCATGTCCAATAAGGTTCTCTAGTTTATTTAAAAGATGACACTATTTACACATATTATTTTAAATGTCAAAAACCTGATTTTGCAATTAAAAAAGATAAGTCTGATCATTACAATTTAAAGAAGCTTAATCTTTCTGCTGATAAAAAAAATAAGGCTGTAAGATGTGGTAAAAGAATAATCCCTTCAACATCATCCACCACATCAACAAAAAGAAAGACAAAAACCACATGATCATCTCCATGTTGAAAAAGCATTTGATAAAATCCAACATCCATTCATGATAAAAACTCTCAGCAAAATGGGTATAGAGGGCAAGTACCTCAACATAATAAAGGCCATATATGATAAACCCACAGCCAACATCATACTGAACAGTGAGAAGCTGAAAGCTTTTCCTCTGAGATTGGGAACAAGACAGGGATGCCCACTCTCCCCACTGTTATTTAACATAGTACTGGAAGTCCTAGCCACGGCAATTAGACAAAACAAAGAAATACAAGGAATCCAGATTGATAAAGAAGAAGTTAAACTGTCACTATTTGCAGATGACATGATATTGTACATAAAAAACCCTAAAGACTCCCCTC